GATGCAATTCCATTTGCCTGTGTGGAAGACTGCACTACTTAGCAGACAAATTTCCTACAGGTGGTTTATTTGGTTACTGAAGAAACTACAGCAAGTCTCATAATATTGGGGCAGTTAATTTACAAACTCGCTAACGAATTGGCTAACTGCTTTGGTTTTGACGAAGCAGTTGGTTTTCGAATTTCGCTGGTGCCATCTTGTGCTCACACTTGCATTGAGCGAATCTACAGGTAGGGAGCGGTCGTCAGACTTTCAGGAGCTAACCAGGGACGGCCTTGCAGTTGGATGGCGGTTTCGGGTTCAAATGAAAAACTTGTTTCTCAATTTTTCTGTTTATTTAGTTTCAAGCTGTTTTCACGATGGCTACCCCCTTATATTATATGTCGACTATTAAATGTATTTATCATATTATTATTTGTCAGATTACTGTGGTTCTCAGGCTGATCAGGAAAATGCATGGGAATGGTGTGATTATGGAAGAATTGAAGTCCTGTTATTTGATACAAATGCAGTAAGCAGATTTTTTTTGTTAATTCCTCGTACTGCCAATGGCAGTAGTAGTTGTACGAGAATTTTTTACTTTAGGCCCAGCCTGGGTACCTGACTACCATAACCACTCTGCATGTAACTGCAAAGATTCCACCTCTACATCCTGAAGATGACTGTGACGTTGAATGACTGGATGACAGATGGCCATGTTTCCTCATGCTTTATCATCTAGATAGTTGCCAAAGCAACAGTCCAATTTTTTCACAACGTTTCACTAAAACTTCATCTGGCGAACTAATGAATAAATGATGAAAAAAGTAGTACATACATTTACAAGTGCCTTGATCTTCATAGTACCCAACAGAGCAGTTACATGTATATTCTTCACTACTCAATTCCGTGTTGCACACTCCACCAAGACCACATGGATTACCAAAACATGCATTCACTGCACATCAACAAACAAATGTGTACATTATAAGAATGCATTAAAATTATATAACATGACATTATGTGAAGTGAATAAAATATGGCATACAAAGATTATATAAAAGACATGTCCTTAATGCATGTGGTGTTGAAATCAAGATTAACGTAAAATTTGTAATACCGGTAGAGGCCTCATCCCCTGATAGAAGCCACACCCATTATTTTTGAACAATTGACAGACCAAAATATCTCATACATGTAACAAATGTGACAAAAGTTTACTATGTCATTCATATTTTAATATGACAAAAATTTAAAATATTATAATAATCAGTAAAATTAATTAATATAGTTATTACATAAAGCGTTGATATGCCATTGAACCATCACTAGGCAGGTGAAAGCAGGAGATAGAAAGCATCTTACCAACGCAAGTAGAATTCTCTTCCTCAGTAGAAACATAACCAGGATGACAATCACAGGTATAATGATACTTCTCCATCAAACCAATACAAGTGCCATTTTTGCAAGGATTTTCAGGGTTACATGGGTCGTCTATAAAAAGTAAATTAATCATGATTATAACTTCCTTCTTTTAAAAAAATGGGGACAGAAAAGGGAAATAAAGGGAATTCCCCTTTTTAAATAAAAAGACAAATTCTCAGTGCTGATAACTATAGTGAAATATGAATTTTATTTATCATGCTTATTAATATCATGATACTTTTATTATATAATGGTCGTGCTCTAGACTATTAGTAGCACATGCATTGATGTGAATGACAGATGCATGTCAATACTAAAATAATCTTAAAAAGCTATTTTTGGCATTTGTGCACTTCTATTAAAGATTCTTAAAATGATAAATTAAATTCAGACAAACAAATGAACTGCATGTACTAGTTTATTGAAAGCTGTCCCATACAAGATGTACAAATTTATAAACATGTAGACCGGTTTATTTGCATTATTATACAACAGTAAAGAGCATATCCCATTGTCACCAACGACTAACACTTGACTAGCATTTTCAAACTTTATTCACTGTGAAATGTGTATGTTATCCATGAAACTTCAAAGAGGTAATGCTGCACATAAAAATTAGTTATATTTTTTTTGGGTTTATTTAATTATTAATCATATATATTGTTAGTTGCACCACCACATTTTACTGTATATTAATCATTCTATACTTGGCAGTAGACTTGACGAGCACTATTTGTGCTAATTGCTATTTTCCTGTCATTTCACATTTACACTTTCTTCCACTTGAATTGTATAAAGTGAATTTATTTTCGTTGTATTTTTGATTTTGTTCTGTATTTATAAATTAATATTGTAAATGGCAAATAAAGAAAGACTGAAATCTACATGAACATGCAACATTAAAACTTATTGTTTCCTTGACAAAATCGTGAAATTACAACACAGTGAATATGCTCAAAATATATAAATAGTTTTACAGTATGATAGTCAAGTATTAGTCATTAGCGACAATTGGATATGCACTATACTGAATAATTCTTGGATATGCAAAATAAAATCATATGACTAATTTAACAAAGTTAAAAATGATATCTGAATAAATTGTTACAGTGATATACTGGATACTGTATCAAATTTGATTATAATAAATGTAAAATACATTTGAACTTGATATCCCATATTTGCGCTAAGAGTAGTGCATGCGCTTACATAAATGAAAGAGGCATGTCTATGAACAAAATATTTCATATTTGAATAATACAGCACACAAATAATGCAATTTTTGCTGTATGCATTATGCATGCTTTTACAGGAGATGTGCTATTACTAGAGTAAATAAGGTAAATTTATATTTAGTGAATGTTTAGAAACCTGGGAAAAGTTATTTAATTGTTTGCACTTCTACAAAATAGTACATAATGTGTGCTCAAGCAAGGTCAATAACATTTTCAGTTTTATGACGAGGATACCTCAAAGTATGCATGGCGACAGTACAGCAGGAATATCGACTCTCGTGCAGCGGAGGTCAATGCGTGCCGTACTGTCTGAGTGCATACTTTGTGATATCCTCTTATCTTTTTCTTCAGGATACATCATAGGAATGCTGAAATCCAAAAAATTTAGGACAGATTTAGCGAACATCTTTGTGTATGGTCCTGTCAAACACTGGGGGCTGCCATATTTTTTGTTTTTTTTTATTATTAGAGGACGCTTACGCGCATAATTGTTCCATATTTGGAATTCACATTCCCTAATATGGTAGGATGCAAAGACCAGTGCATTACCGCAAAATTACAGCATGCTGTATCTCATGGCATTACTGTGATGAAAGATGTACAACAATGTATTTTACTATGCAAGTGGATGTGACAACAGCGCCCTCTATGTTCTTCACATGACCACCATTTTTGGACTGCTGTCTTCTGTTCAATCTATGTAAATACACAGCAGTTGTATTGTAAAACAAATGTCACTGACCTCAACTTGTGCAAGAGCAAATTTGATGGATTTTTTTTTTACTGTTGTTGATCATATATTGTCATACTAATAGGTGGTTTCCTATATTCATACGCAGGTTCTATGGGCTGTGGTGTTATACCTATTTTAAAAATCTGGATATAATATTTGATATAATCAAGAACTAAGTTTATGTGGGAATATATTTTTCAAAATGCATGCGTGAGTTATGGCTGAACATCTGAATGAAACTCAAAGTTTAGAGTCCCGTTTTTAAATAATTTATAAAAATTTAACAATCAGAACAGATATATTCATAAACCAAAATAGATATGTAATTAATTCTATAAAGTTGTAATAAAGAATTATCTTATCTTATATGACATCAAAAAGCCTTGCAGAGCAATTTTCATCATCTTCCACAACATTTTAACTTTTTCATAAAAATTATGTACCAAATCCAATATTGCTTATCAAATTCTGCAATCAATATAATTTCTGTCAGCTCGGCTCTAAATTATGGTTATATTTCGAAAACTGTGAAAGTGAAAATATTTGCACCAACATTTCGAGTATATAATAAATTGGCTGTTTTATGTAATGTCTATAGTTTTTTTTTTACCCATTTACATACAGAAGCACCCGATCACTAGAGATACTGACAGGAAAGAAAAGATAATGAAATTGTTATCAATTGAAAAGATGAACATGAGCCAAATACAGATGAGGGTGGTGGATTGACGAACATCTCACCGACTGAGGGCAGTATTGCATTAGCTAACTAAATACGTAACAGATGTATTATTCCGTGTTAAAATATTTCAGGTTTGATCCCAATAGAAGTAAACACAGAGACAATATTGGAATATGAAAGTGAGTACGAAGAAAGCCTATGTCGATACAGCCTTCAAATTTATTTGTAATTGGATTATTCACTAGTGTGATGATGCTGTTTCGGGTTCTTTGTTGAACCCTTCATCGGTCGGAAAAGTACTTGACCGAATCGTTCGTTTTATTTAGCTTTCAGAAAATTTGATGTTATTAATTTCATTATACAATTTAGTTAAAATGGAAAGTAATTCTTCGTCGTTTGGTGGGTCGTTTTTCACGAGTTTGTCAGTACGTAGAGTAGAACTTGTAAATACAATTGAAGCAATAAGCATTTATCTACAGACTAGAACCCTAATTCACGTTTTTAAAGGGACCCCCCCCTTAAAATTGTTATCGCAATAGCTGCAAATATTTAGTTACACAATATGACCACGTAGGCTAATATATTTTGAAATGATATGCTCACCATAGCCACCATGTACCTTTTGATGTTTATTGAAATTTAATACTTTTCTAAAGTTTAATTTTTTCGACACCATGACTTAATGATGTGTGTTTTGGGTTTACCTAAAACAGTGACTCGATCAGAATTTGTTAAACATTGCTGATCAGGGTGACCTTCTATTCCACATGGAGAATCAGGACCATCTGGCAACATCTGTGTAAAAAGGAAATCAAAGAAAGCTTAGAAAGAACTCCCGTTTGCTGAAGGTATTGGAAGCATGAAGAACAAATAAGGAATACTGCATTTTACTTTTTACAGTTAACACATTCTTCTATTACAAGGTCCATAGCACCAAGAGCCAAATGATTTCCAAGACTTTTCCAGACCTTTTCCCAAACTTTCTTGCATTCCCCCCCCCCCAAGACATTTTGATCCTTAATTCAGGCCAACATCATCACAAAAGCTCATCAAAGTTCTGAGGATATTTTATCAGTAGTTCCCCGGTGAAAACAGGCCTTTCTAAAATGAATTACCGTAATAACGATGAAGAAATTTAAAGACTTTTCAAAGATATTTTTATTTTTCCAGACGTCAACAAATTAGGATGGTTCCTATGGTTTACCAATTATTTTGGTCATATAAGAAAATTATAGCATCAGTTGCATGCTCGTATCTGCAACAGTACATCCGATATTAGTTGTGCATGTTATTGAGGTCACATGACTGAATATAATCTTCTGGAACTATTAGGGTTGTGCAAACACGTTTGTTTACCTAATCATACCTACCAGAAAATCTGTGGAAATAATAAATTTCATTTATTACTCGTTAGGCTTAATTACAGATTACAGCCCCAAACGGAAACTACTAGAGAATATACCCGGGTCCAAAAGAAACACCCTAGGGTAGCATTCTCTAAGAAAAAAGGCCTCGCCTAAGGGGTCACTCCCCAGGGCGATCTTGCACCCAAAGCAGGTCAGTTCCAATTCTCACAAATGGTTCGCTGTGACACAACGGCTGCTCCACAGTTTTTCTGGTAAGTATGATTAGGTAAACAAAAAATAGTTTACTACATCACCTACCAGAAAATCCGTGAAAATAATAAATTTTATTTATTACTTGTTAGGCAGAGAAGCACGCTCACCGAAGGAAAGGTACATTTTTCGACACAAAAAGGCAGGAAGAACAAAAAACAGACAGAAATCTAAAACTACTCGCCAACAAGGAGTCTTGTCCTGGGATACAACCAAACAGGTGACTCTTCAGGGACCGGATGCCTGAGAGTAGACCCCCCTCAATTTAGGGAGGCTACTGAAGCCGGCCGCCTGAACAATAAAATAGGGCCCAAACAATTATAATGCATTAAAACAGTGTATTGGTTGTGTTCGATAGTGCAGATCAAAGCCAGCAGCGTCAAGCAAAAGGAGGCTGGTTTCAGCTGAAGACTCCATCACGCTAACGCTTTCGCGCACAGGCCCTTTGGTGGTGCGGGCTGGGTCCACAAACACTGTCTGACCCGTCACCATTAGTCCCGACTTGTAGAGACCCTCCACCAACACTTGGAGGTCTCTTAGGTAATAGTTAATAAAGACATTTTGAGATCTCCAGTACCTTGCTTTGGAGCACCTGCTCGAGCGAGGCACCAGACATCCAAAGAGTAAGCTACTTCGCGCACTTCGTGTACCCTCACCTAGTGACGCTCCAAACTGGTCGTTTAAGAAGCCGTTAAATTATACGCTTCCACAACCGTATCGACAATCCACCGTGAAATGGTGATATTCAAGGCAGGGTGGCTTTGCTTGCCCCGCCCAAAACAGACAAACATGCACTATTGCTGCCCGAGACACCTTGATGAGGTCGCAGTACTAGTTCTTGGGAAGAAAGCCCATCCGAGTCTTCAAAATAACTTGCAAGTTTATAGAAGAGGCACATCCGTCATTAAAGGACAGTGCCCCTTTCTTTGAACGCTGCCTACGACGCCAGAGCCAAAAGAAAAACTGTTTTCATAGTGACATACTTTATGTCCGCCTTATCCATAGGCTTGAAGGGGGTGTCGTAACGCTGCTAGGACCAACAACAAATCCCAATCTGGAGAATTCGTTAGCCCCTTAGCGCACTTAAACAGTTGTTGCATAACTGAACTGAAGGCCAGTAGATTCTGATAAAACTGAGAACAAAAAAGGCCGATATTCAAGAATCATTGATATAGATTTCCTTGATCGAATAAATACAAGAAAAAAATCGGCTACCTCGCTAATAGGGACTGAGATGATCAATCTCCCTTCCATTACTCCAATCAATGTAAAGTCTCCATTGGGACTCGTACAAATGTCTGGTGCCGTTCGACTGTGTCGAAAGCGAGGAACTAGAACTACTCTGCAGAAAAGCCTTGCGCTTCCACGAGTTTATTGAAAGCCTCCATACGTGAAGATGGAATAACACAGGGCTCATCGGTTAGAGTGCCGTCCGGCTAGGACAACAAATCCGGAAGATCCGGCAACTCCACTGGGGACTCGACTAGAAGGTCCAGCAACATTGGGAACTAGACCTTCACTGGCCAATTGGCCGCAACCAGTGTCAGAAGGCAGGTGGGCTCGAGTCGCAATTTCTCCAACACTTGGTGCACTAGTTGGAAGGGTGGAAAGGCATAAGCGTCTATGTGACTCCAAGGGATTGATGGGGGATCTGCCACTCGGTGTTCTAAGACCAAATATGTCTCGAGTGGGGGTTCGATCCGACGGGGAGGAGCGGATGGGGGTTCAGAGCTAGAGCTCCCGAACTCCAGCCTCCAGCAGAGGAGGACGAAGACGAAGAGACTGAGGGGGGATCGTACCACCATTCATGCCCAGGTAGCCGGTGAAGCCTTCAAAGAGACTATGTGGCTTCCTTGCCCTCAGAAGTGCCGGAACATCATACCACCATAGCCACGTTCTTGGATCTCATCTTACATTACCCGCTACCGGTCTTCTTCCACGCCTTAGATGGAGACAGCGAGTGCTTAGATCCTCGCTGGTACTGGTCCATGTGGTGGACTTTATGCAACCACCAAAACGACCACGGCATTAGCTAGCCGACCACGGCATCAGCTAGTCGGCCACGTGCCCACAGCCCTCTCCGCAGGAAAGCAAACTCGTCTCCCGCTGGAGTAGGGTTGGTGCACTGACTGCCTCCCACTCAACCGAAACCGCTCCTGTCAAGAGGGCAGTATGGACTTGCAAAATGTCGCACATAGAAACTATCTGCACAGCCAAAACAGGTCCATCTGCCGTGATTGTGGTTCGTTGCCTAGCACTTGGGCGGTCAGAACTTGAAAGGGTAAGCTGACAAGGAGACCCATTCTACAAAGTTTAAGTTCTGCTCGCAGCATGTGATGCACTTGCAGGCTCTGGTGCCAGTCGAATGACCTTGCAACATGGTCTTCCCAATCCATGTAACCCGCCTAATCAAAGGCATGGGTACCAGGATCGGAGTGGGGAACCCTTGAAGAAGGCTGTGGCACCACACGAGTAACCTAAATCAGGGACCCACTGACAGTTTGCGTAGCCCCAATGGGGTATCATCCCCCAATGGGAGGCATGGGACAGGACCAACCCAATCCAGGATCAGTCTACTCATCACTGTCTCCCGAAGGGTACCGATCACCCCTCCATCACCATCTGAGCCCCCTCCACAACCTGGGTCACACAAGGTGCCCAGGGGAGTTTACCAACAGGCGTGGTTTCCATGTCGGCAGTGGGAGAGGGGAGCGCCGGTGAAAACAAAAAAGTCCAAAGGCAACTTCCCCATCCGGGGAGATGGGATCACCACCAGCCCACACGAAAACAGTCTCACGACAAGCACTGCCCGGTTCACAAGCTGTGTCCTTAACCATATAATGGTAAGGGTCAGCTGGGCTCCGGTTGGCTGGGTAGCATGTGCTTGTCCCAACAAGGAAGGGTCAAGAGACGAAGGGGGCTGCGTACCACCCTGCACAGGGGTACCAACACTGGAGCCCTCCCCTCGCAGAGTAACAAGTAGGGGCACGCTACCTGGTGAAGCAAAGGTAACGAAGCCTGCTCTGACCGTGCGTGGAGAGGTGAGGGGAAAAAATGGCAGAGGCAAGCCTCGTCTCGCTACCAAGGGAAAAAGAAGACATTTTTTTCACTCATTGAAAACAGACATATCATTAGCTTCAGCAG